TTATTTGTTTACTCCTTTTCTTTTTCTTCATTACTCGTTTAATCTTTTGAGTTACTTCCTTTTTAATTTTAATATTTTTCGAGAGGAAATAAACTCGAATTTCTCCATTCATCTACCCTTATTTTATTTCACTTCGTTCATTACGTACTTCATCAATAGTTTCTGTCTTCTTCTGAGTCCATCTTTGGATTTCGTATATCTTACTTTACAATTCACTTTTCTCTATTCTTATTAGATCAAATAGTGGGATTTATCCGTCAGTCTTATAATGCACTCACGGCCCCAAACTGCGAAGCGCTATTTTTTTCTTTTTGACGCTAACGGGGCACGAACTAAGGAACTTGAGATCCACAGTTCGATACGTTAACCACTAGGCCATGCTCAGAGTTTATGAATACTTTGCATCCGAAAGGACTGTGATATACCTTTTTCAAAATCTGTCAATTTTCAGTGTTATAACATTACTTACAAAATGCCAAACTGTATCAAAATTTAGTTCCGGTACATTCCGTTACACAGCGATTTTATATTGGTTGTTGTTGTCACGTGACTTGCTAATTTACATATTCACAATTGTTTTATATATCTTACTCAACTCTCCGTATCCCCTATTTTGTTCTTATTTTTTATAGTTATTGAATAATTTTTAAAGTGTTTTATTCTTTTTTCCCTCATTACGTATTTTATTATTGCTATTTTATATTATTGAAATGTTTGCTTTGTCTTCGTTATTATTTTTATTTGAAGCCCCTCCCTCGTTGGTTCAGAGGGAAGTCTGAGGACATAATGCCAAAAATCAGTTAGATCTCGCGGTGGACACAGCTTTGTGCATAAATAGAAACAAAACATTGTAACTTCGATAAACGGAAAGCATATAAAACATCTAGTTTGATGAAATTTATGGTTCATATATTTGTTTGTTATTAGAAATTATTGGAGAAAAACACTACCGAGTTTATTTCTCGCATTGAGATAAGTGAATTTACTAAATTGGTTATGGTAGAAAACAAGTATAAGTTTAAAAAATGCTTGCGCTTATATCATTTTTAAAACTAACATTCGAGTTCGAGTATTTGGTATTAAGGTGAACTTTGTTTCTTTTTCAGAATGGTTCTCTATATGGAGTACCTTCCTACTAATAAGCGAGGACAGGCTGCGATGTCACTTGCTGTAAGTCAATAATTAATTGTCATTCTTGTTCTTTGTGATATATAGGCCAGTATATTTATTACATTGTTTTTATATCAGCGATACCGATAACACTCGTTTTTATAAGTTTTTACATGTTTACATTAAAAACTTAACAATTTTAAACAGGCTATGCTCTCTGACTTTTTTCAAACAAAGATGTTGATAAAAGAACGTTTAATTATTAATTCCCTTTCTCATGAACTTGATAAGTTCTTAAAGATTTAATGACCCATCCTTATTTTATATACCACATGACTCGAATATTTCTAATTTTGAATTATTTGTATGAACAGAGACCGAAAGCAGGATGCAGCTGCTGCCACACATGCTAATGTAAAGCAATAAGTTATTGAGACATTGGATGATTGAACGATCTCTTAAAAGGATGGATGTTGACATGAGCCTGAGACGAACCATACCAGATTTGAATAAAAATCTGCTTAAATATAATATATATCATACGATTATTTACATTCTTAATTCATAAGATAGCGTCTAATAATTATATGTTAATCAAAGTATTATTTTTATTTTTTTGCTTTCTTCTGAAATACCCGCAGGAAAAAAAGTTTTATATTTATTAACGAATCAGATAACGTACAGCATTGTAAGTAATTGTAGGCAAAGGAATGGAAAAGATAAAAAAGGCAAATAGTATGGATAAAAACGAAAAGCATAACCAGGTCCCGCATGTACAAAGCTATTAAAAGTACAGGTAGTCTTATTGTTGCTGGTCCTTAACTCCCAGTAAACTAAATTTCTTTAATGTGCAGCATATTATACCAAATAGTAGTAGTAGTAGTGTAGTAATATGAATTCAATCATGACTTCGAGGAAGGAAATACTGCAAGACAATCATGTAGAAATACAAGTTGTGGCTAGCTAAAGATTCCCCATGTAAAAAATTACAGTAAACCTCCGTGTTTCAGTAGGAGCTGTATGCAAGACTCTGAAAGGTACCTGAAACTGGCATCCTTAATAACATAAGTAGTTGGGGAAGAATACCGAAACTCTTCAAGAAAATGTTAAGTATCTCAGAGTGTGTTTTTACGACGGTCGGGTAGAGGTATTGACAACGATTTTACTATAAATACAAGTGCGAATGTTACCTTGAGAACAGCCAAGTAAAGGTTGTGAGTGTTTCTTCCATCAGGATCTTTAATGTAAACACATTGTTTCACCACATTTACTATGTGTTTGGTATAATTATTTTGCTGTAAGATGAATCCCTGCCTGATGAGTCATGTTCCTAATGGAACTGCATAATGGAACTGCATGTTCTTGTCAGCAGTCAAAGTGGCATCAAGTTAGTGTAGCTTACCGACATCACAGACTGAGATACAGCTCCAAACTTTTATTGATATCCCACATTCTCCACTGCAGATGTTGTGTATTGACAATGACACTATTCTCCTTTGCTTATTCTACTATTTGTAGTTCGATAACTATTTCAACTTTGTTTTTCAGTTATCTCTACTCTGCAGTAGTTTCGAGCGGCTACTCGTTGAATGAGACCACTTCGTGCTAATGTATATTTTCTGCAAACTCCTGATATGAACATTTACGAAGCTATACAAGTTCATATAAAGCTGAGAAGGTCGAAAGGTGGTCGTACAACTTGGCTTAATCGTGTTTGGTAATATAGGACGTTTGAAACAATATTTTACAATCCTACATTGATAAAATGTATATCAACATTAAACTGAGGTGTATAACAATGGGATCACATGTAGAAATGCATTGTATTAACACTTTGTTTTGTTTTCTGTTTTTCAAAATTAATAAATTCCCCATGTAGTTGCTATTACTCTTTGCTTGTATCTCCTATTTGTGTGCCGCTTGTATGTTTACACAATTATTTCCGTATAATATTGTGATAGATGACGCTTATAACATCATTATATTCCGTTGTGGAGGCAAGCACAAGGCATTATTTAGCGTATGACATCCATTTGAACAAACCTTAGCTTATGACATCTGCTTAGCATTTAAATGAATCTACAGTAATATCATTTAGCCGTATTCATCTAAGCAGAATCCCAGTCTTTATCTTATGCTTGTGTGGCGTTGGAAGAGGCAAGGATGAGTCCTGGTGTGATAGTAGCATATACTATACAAACAGATGCAACATGAGCATAGTATTCCACTGACCATACCATCTACAAAGAAAGTGGCATACAGTAGCCAAGGTATCGGGTATACATTGATACATAGAATGCATACTCTAGATTAAATGAGTGTTTTTAGTTATGAGGGCTGTTAAACAGTTGAGGAACATTGTCAGTGTCCAATATGAGGATGTTAATAATGTAATAAATTATCAATAGTGTATTTTAAAGCTACCTACTTAAACATTAACCTCTTGAGTATAGTTGATTCATCGCATACCCAAATATATTTCATATCTATGCCACTGGTGACACGCTATGTCATAGGAGATCCATAGAAAATAGACCTTTGATGCCATATACCATGACTGGAGTTTGATCTATATCAGATTATTGTCATGCTTGTGGTGAAACAAGGTGTAACTGCCAGTATCTGAAAGAATACCGCTTCACGAAGGTTCTACCAAATCTCGATATTTCCGCAAATGTTTGGTACCTTTGAAGTTTTGAGAAAGCATTTTTTCTCTGGAACCCGAGCTGAAACTTGGCAAAACTAAATTTTCCATATACACAACATTTCCTACTGTATTTCATTCAAAACAGGTCATGTCATTTTCCTTATTCTTCCTGCGTTAAAACATACCTTGTTTTGAATAACTATTTACATTATTATTTCACATGTAAGCCTGTGAAGTCAACTCAGAAGTATCCTAAATTCTCCTGTTGGGGCTCAAACTTAAAGATTGATCTTCCCGAGTTGTGTAACGGGCGTGTGGACAGTCCGTGGATTTAGTCTTTAGGGGGTTCGACTTTATACTAGTTACAAAGAAATTTATTTGTATTTCGAGTCGTGCTTTCGCAAGCAGAACACAAAAGCCACCAACTCGAGGAAGTTTATGTGGGGAGTAAAGAACTCACACAGAGACAACTGAATACAAATCAAATAGTCTTTATATTTATACACTGTTGAGCATTTTAACTATATCGAAACTCTCAAGGTTACCGTAGAACAACATTAACTCTAAATGATTGAATTCATCGTTTTGAAGATCCAGATGTCTGTTACTAAGACCTTCTATTATGTTCAACAACATAAACACAACATTAGTTAAGTTATCAACTAAGTTAACACGAGAAATTCTCTCGATCATAATCGGTATAACCGCATTAACAATTTTTCTAAGATATCTTTCAGAAGTTCCACTATAAGCGTTATCAAACCTATTATTTCTTTATTACAGCTAATGCTATTCACTTTTCTCTCTTTAAACATTATACATTATTGAACCATAAGTGAAACACTGTTAGACTAGATCAGAAATAGCATACTTACAAGCAATTTGTGTGCCGAACTCCTTGTAGATTCTGGATTACTGTCGTCTTCTGGAGTCAGAACAATTTCCCGAAGCAGCTTGTATAAGCGCAGAGAAGTGACGTTTAGAGTAGAAAACATGGAATTATATATACAATTTTTAGTGTTTTTCCAATTGTTCAAGACGTTTATCAGATCTACTTTTAAAAGTAGTTCTTTTAACTCGATTGGTACAAGTGGAATCTTTTATCGACAAATGAACTATTCCTTCAGACTGCAAACAAAGTACACTTTCTTATTGGTCCTTACAGAGCTTATTTGTGTCCCTTATCTAGTACTTTTGGCGAAATCATCCAAGGCAATTAATTTCGGGTGATTTTCCTCGCCATCCTGTTAACTGTTTTTGGTGACATTGATTCATGTTGTCAGAAGCTTTGTCTTTCTGGCGCTAGAGTCCGTAGCTGTAAATTTTTTCGCCTCTTGGTCAAGACACGGAATTTGTCCCAGGCTAACTCCTGCATTGGGCTTCAAACCTGTATCTTTCTTATTTGGTATTATGGTTCACTAGTGACCACTTTTTTATAACATTTTCGATCTGCTGCTTTCTCCATACTATACGTTATATATGTTAAAAATATAATGCACTTCTTGAAAACCTTTAAACATGTATATACTTGGTACTTGTATTCCACAACTACTTCAGTTGTTATTGCATATTCAGAGCAATTTTCAAGTAAATTAAGAGCCCCAAAAACTTTGCTCTCTATTTTCGGCGATCATCACGACTTTTTCGAACATTTGTTCTTACATTCTGTGAGATTCATGATTCTACTTGCAAAATTTCAAGTCGTTTTCTTAAAAGTTGTAGGAAAAATTCAAGAAAACACTCTCAACAGACTCCTTAGACTGGAAGTGAAGTTTAATGATGGATAAAAGTACAACGGCAACAGCAAAAATCAGTAAAAAGTTATTTATTATAAATGAACTCTCATCTATAAATGATAGTGTCATAAACAGCATGTCGTCTGTATAATTCACAATAATAAATTAGTAGCATCAGTAGCATAGGGTGAGTTTGTGTGTGTGTGTGTAAAAGACATCTCAAAACAGCTTAAATATTACATATTATTTTTAAAGTTTACATCTTACGTACAGCGCAATTCTTTATTTATCTATTATGAGTTAGTTTAGTAAGGATGTTTAAAGATGAAGAATAACTTTTAAGAATAACTAATCATACTGCCTCAACCATCACGGTTATATGCAACAATTAATATCCCTCCACTATCGCTATGGGTAATGATGTTTACAACTAAAGTAATACATAAAAATAGTTCTGAAAATTAGAAATAGAGGTCTTTTTTTAAGAAGAGTATTCAATTAATTTTATATTCACTACAATTTGTTTGTAACTTATTTAATTAATTTTAGTTATCCAATATATATGTAAAAACGAACATAGGGTTGGAACAACAAAACAAGTCTATACATTAGTTTGTAGAAGCCCTCTTTGTGATTTTAACAGCTCGACTCTGAACGTTTATTTAGTTAAGATACAGAAAATATTTTGAACTGTCTATAGATGTAGAGGATTATTAGTTTTAGTAAACTTATGTTTTCTAGATTTTCTGGGGTATCGGTTCACTTCTTGTAATAGTGGTAGCAATGGCCGTTATGACAACGATAAATTCCTGGAGAACTGTTCTACTGATCATCGTCGTTCCTATTGTAGTATTCCTGTTTTTCTCTATGGTAAATATATCACCATATCTTGTATAACTTAATGGTATAGAAGTTTTAATGACCCAGAACAAGATTTATTACTTTACCACTTGTATGTTGGTGTATTGTTCTGGTTTTAATCTAAAATAGTTCTAAATTCATTATTTTGATACAATGTTTATGAATTACTTTCAAATAAATTTTACTTTAAGGAGCAGATGTTGCTAACTTTAGCAATGGCTGGTGCTGTGAAAAGGAAGTTTAAGTCGGCAAACTGTATACAGTGTGAGTTTGTATTTACAAAAGCGAGGCTGTTTCACCAAATGCATTCAGTGACATAAACGACTATTTCAGACAGGTAATTTTAATAGGTTTAAAATCATGTACAGCTACTTCGATGTGCTTCTCTGCTACAGCGGAAATTACAATATTACCTAAGAAACTGAAAATCATGCACATTATTACGTAGTTTATACTATAATTTTAACCTCATTGGTTCGAAAGTTATAGACAAAAGCAAAATACCAAAGGGCTTCAGGGGACACATTATAAACAGTAGAAATTAAAGTTTGCATGATATGATCTCTGTTTAACATGAAATTATATATGTCACTGTTTACTGAAGACAAATTCCAATTAAAAGTTACTATAGATGTGTTATAATGACGTTAATGTCCGCCATCTTGAATGGGATAAATAAATAACGATTGTAAGAGAAAGTGGCATTTCCAATTATTTTTACGTCTTTGAAAAGGGAAGTACGGCGCGATATGCAGAGTAGGCCAAATTAGCTTATTTAAGTATGAATCATTTTGAAAGTCCAAAGATGAATGGTCAAATTATAAGAATTATTTTTAGTTCCAGTTACTTTCAAAAGAATTTCTGAATTTTTATTGGTTCCAAATACATTATGAAGTTCTATAAGGGACTTGATCCATATACATACCTTACGACTAGATATCTTCGAAGACCTTAGTAAATATGAAATACTTGTAGAGGTTTACGCTAAAAAACATAAAACTGTTGAATATTTCATTATGTACACAATTTGTCAATATGCATATAATCACTGTATGATATGCAATTGTAAACCTAATTACGGGATTAACAAGTACTGGTCTTATCTCTATAGATTTTACTCATTAATATTTATAGGTATGAAAGTGGCAAAGATAAGAAGGCCTTTATATGACAGTTTATCAAAGGCGCCAGAAACAAACAAATGCCAATGTGCAGTATTAATAGTCTAGCTTGGTGTACCCAGACTGTGAAGCACTAGCTTTGATCCGTAAAAACGATCTTCTCTCTTTGGGGTCGTGGATGCACTATAAAGAGTGAAGTCTCACTATTCGAACATATTAGAATAGGCAGAAAGCTCACAATGGGTTCCGTTGAATAACGGTCTTTCTTCTGGTCTGTCAGTTGAAAATGAAAGAAGCTACATGTATAGCTTATCGAGAAATTCTGAAACAAACATAACGTATTTTTAAATATTGCATTAACTCCTGGTGGATTGTCTTTCTACTTTAACTGACAAAGCTATTGGATTTTCTGTAGCTTAATAGAGACCGTAAACAATTCTCTCTCTCTCTAAAAGAAAGCTTAGAATCCAAAGTTGACAAACCTGAAATAAATGTTGATGCGATTCAAACGTAGGGTAGTAGTTTTTGCACTTTTTTGCAAGTGATGTAATATATACATATATACGGTTTATCGCTGCTATGCAACGATTTCTGAGCTCTGAGTTCACAAATGGATTATGAAAGAACACAGTATACCTTTTGTGAAAATTTTTGTACACCCAGGGAATCAACAACTTTTAGGAATTACAGATAATTGAACGTAAACACCGATGAACTAAACACGTCGTGACCTGTTTACTCAACTTATTTTCAACTCGGTAAAGCAGATAATGCATGTAGAAGATTACTTGTGACGTTATATGAAACATCTACTTGGAGCACTGCACTTACAACTTATGGACAAATATTCTCTTACATCAAACTGATGTGTTGAACTTTAGCTGAATTCCATCTTTATGTTCATTTACCTATACGATCATGATTTTGAACTAGTGATATTTACTGTTTACAAACAAAAGCGTTGTTTTTTAAATTTGATACCTATATGGATATTACGTTTTATCCAAGTTAATGGAGCCTTCATACATTATTTACATTGAACTGCTAAGAAATATATAATATAACGGAACTCGGAACTGGCCTCTAACAAAGAAGCGGTACTATATTTGAAATTTCTAAAGCTTCCGGTAGAGAGGTCTTGGATTATATTAGAAAAATGTTCAAAAAACGCATTATATAATATATTCGAAAACGCCCAACATTAGTCAAAATAAACTCCATAGCCAACTAAAATCAAGATAGTGTAATAATTAGTGCTTTGAATAAGAATCAAAATGAAATGGGTATAACAAACTAACATGCGAAAGCTGAAAATTATATTATGAACCTATGAATACTGGTTTTTTATTATTCTAGCACTCTAAGTATATATAAAAATTTAATTAATAACTGAATAATTATTTCAATAAGAAAAATAACGTGTTAAGCAACTCCCCATATATAATATTTTAATATTTAGTATGTAATTTCTAGTTATTTATTTTCATCTAGTGGTATCCGGAAAGTGCACGTTACCTGCTCGTCTGTGGAAAGAAGAAAGAAGCAGCAAAGAGCTTATCCAAAATGGCGGAGGAAAACGGCAAACCCTTGCCGACTGGCAATCTAGTACTGCCCCCTTCTGGCTTACAGCACGGCTCTATAATAAATTTGGTGAAACAACAAAAATCACTTTTTTTAATTTTATGTTATGCATGGTACGTTGAAATGCCTTTTAATATACATCTGTTCATATTTTGAGCAAATGATATACATACATTTAATCGCTCAGAAGTTTCACTTGCGGTTCTTATACCTGTAAATTCAAATTGTACATGATGTGTTATTTTTTTCATAAATCGTTTAGTTGTTGTTAAATATGAAGAGTGATCTTGTCAAAAAAGCATACAGATTTGCTAACAGTTTCTAATCATTCCATTATTAACGAGCCACAAAACCTTTTAAAAAGTTAACAACAATAATGCCAAAACTGTGGAATATATCGTTTTTTAAAATTATGCTGTCGGAATATTTTATATTTAAATCAGGTCTTTTTTTTTTTCAATCAGAAATCCTAAAAATTTCAAATG